AATTGTGTTTTTTTTCGTTTCTTGTCATAATCTTAAAACTTTTATTGAAGAAAATAAAAAGTTTAAACAGATATTTAAGAGGTTTTTTTTTGCTAAAGACATCTTTTATAATGCAAATTTATGATTATGAGCAGATAATGATCAATTTAATAACTGCGGTTATGGATTATGACAACTCTAAATGTAATTTAGTCAATTCAAATATTTATCTTCTATTAACTGTTTGAATACATTTGGCATAGGAATATTGTATATCATGTATAATACGTTTCGGCATATTTCCACGATTCGTCTTTGCAGTCACATGTCGCAATATGTGAAACAAAATATTTATTCAGTTCTTACGAAACGAATTATATTGCACGTGCGATGCTTCAAATAAAGAACAAATAAAAAACACTTAAACGAATATATGCACACAAAAATGCATACTATTTTTAATACAACAGTGATATTGTTATTCTCGTACGCTAATTGCATCATCGCTCTGAAATCGATCGGAAAAAATTGATCCGGATCCTTTCTCCGTTTTCTGTCACAAAGTTCACAGATTAAGTATCGATATCGAAATATTAATTAGTGCACGTAAATTACTATCAATATCTATGACGTGCTGTCTCGATAATTGGGACAAGCGAATGAAAGGATACGCCGAACGATTAATTAAAACGCTTGGAAAATCTAATGAAAATAATATGAAACATATGTATTTAATTGACTGTATTAAGAATTTATAGGACTTTCTCACACAAAAAAATACTTCTAATAAAACGTTCATTATTAATTGAAGACTAAAGGTGCTTAAAGAATTGTTCAAAGATGTAATCTTTATATATTTTGTGAAAAAAATTGTGTATGAAAATTGTGTATGAAAGATTGCAAAAAAAGTAATTTTATCAAAAATTGTGAATGATTTTAAAAATGTTATTTTGCTTTTACTGCTATTTAAATAATTTTTTTTTAATTTCAACAATATTTTATTCGTAAATGATAATTTTATTAATTTGAAATTGAGAAAAAAATTTCTTTCCGTGAAGTTCAATTTGTAAATATTTTTAACACTCTCATTTAAAAAAAAAATTTATTGATTCCCGTTTAAGATATTGTGGCAAAACCGAAGAGAAAATTAATGTTCTTTAATTATTTATGTTTTAATAAAATTACTTTTTTGTAACGTTTTATGCATTAAATTTCCAAAGAATTTATAAAAAACTTTTATAAAAAAGTTTTTATGTACTTTTAATTTTTGATAAGAAATAGATACTAGATTTTGTCAAAAATTTTTATAGCAGAAAAGTTCTTATAACTTGGAATGTTCAGTAACGCGAATTATTTACGAGAATATTTCATCTCATTGCTTTAAAAATCTTTCTTATAGGAGTCCTTGGGTGTTTAATTCATTAGTATTTCAGTTTTTTTGAAGTGTAAACTTTTGATTACGTTTCCTTATTTGAATTTCGTACGTATGTATTATTAATTTTTTGGTCGATAGGTATTTAAATAATGATGCATCATTTTCAGTCATGTTAAAGTCAGTGGTTTTCTTGGTCGCGTGCTTAAAAAGTTTCCGGCTGCCCATTTACGCGTCCTTCGGCATCGAGACTTGTGAAAAAATTGTCTGATTTCACGATTGATAGATTCATTATACATATATAGATATTCCTAATATCTTGTCACGGAAACATCAATATGTATAAGTTGCTACTTTTTTAAATACAATTTATTGCGAGGGCATAAAGGGGTCATTGAATACACAAATTACATTTCATTGTATAATTATTGTATTGTTGTATTTCGTTGTATTGTGAACTGTTTGTAGAACCGGTATACGTAACATTGCCATATATGTGAATTTATATGTATAGAAAACTATATAAATACAATACAATGGACTGGATATATATATATACTGATGTTTTGCACTTATAAAGTAATTGTACTAATTAAATTTAATATTTTTCATGAAATTCAAATATTTTTTCCAAATAAATAGTTTTTGCTAAGTTAAAAATTGTTTATTAATTATATGTACTCATTTATACATATAATTTTTAATTGGTACAAACTTAAAACAATTTTTAATGCATATGGATGCCATAAATATTATAAAAAATATTAAAAATCAATCACATATTAAATTTAATAATAGATAAAAATATCTCATGTGGATCATTTCACATTGTGCATATAAGTATGTATATAATAAATAGCATGTATAATACATATTAAACAAATGTATAATAAATATTATAATTTAAAATTAAAGTTAGTTATGACAAACGTAGTTAATTGAAGCAAACATTATTTGCTTGCTTTAATATTAAATCAAGCAATAAATTAGAAATGTAAGAACTAATATAAATAAATTATAAATTTAACATTTATAAGAACATTAAAGAACATTAAAGAAATTAATTTTAGGTTGCGAAAGACTTTCGTTGGGAACCGTTCACTGATATGAACGGTTCTTAAGTATTTCATTGAACCTGTAAGACTGGCATGCGAGTGAAGGTGCCGTGATTGATAGAGTCTTTACCATATGTATTTATATTTATGAAGAAATTTAAATATCATGATATTTTCCTTTGTTTCTCAACTTACTGCATAAGTGAATCAATTTTATTTACGTGAAATTAGCAATTTATGAAATTAGATAAATTTAAACGTAAAAAAACAAAGAGGACAAACTATACTTATGTGATTCAATTGAGCAGAACTTTTTAGCGTGACAAATAGACATATAAGTAGATAGATAAACAGACAAATAGATGGATAAGTAGATAGATAAATAAGCATGTATCGAATTATTGCAATTTTGATTCATATACAATATTGAGTAGAAAAAATAATTATAATATTATAATAAATGTATTAACAAATAATGGGTGAAAACAAGTGTGCGCTACATTAAATAATATATAATTATATTAGGTGTTGGAATTAATTCGTAGCGTTTTACAAGTGATGGGAAGTACTTTCATTAATGTATTTTTTAATGCTCATGTGAAATAAATAACATTCTTTCATTAAAAACGCTACGAATTAATTCCAACACCTAATATATAATAATCAAAATTTAAATGAATTTAATTTTATTATTAAATAATAACATGATTAAAATTAAATTATAATTAAAATATTTAAGAAAATACTATAAAATCTGAATACAATAAACTTCAATAGAATTATAATCATGTGTCATTATAACAATAAGATATAATTACACAAGTGTATATATCCAAATATCTATAAATGTTTATATTTAAATGCAAATATCAAAATTTTAAAATATCTCTCTTTTTCTCACTCTCCTTTTTTAAAAAGAAAATCGATAAAAATAAATTAATTTGAGAAAAACTTTGAGATGGAGAAAGAGTTCATTTCTTTTTTAAGATTACATTTTATGTTTATGAACTTAAATTTAGTAACACAAAGATAATTAATTTGTTATTAAAATATTTTAAAAAATTATTTGTTTGCAATAAAACGTGATTTTATGAAGCTATCTAAAAAGAAAAAAAAAAGATAAAGAGTTGAATTAAGAGATATATGAAATAAAAAGAAAGTTAAGAATTTAGATATTCTTTTATATAAATAAAAATATTTTAAAAATAAAATTTAATTATCGTTACATTTTACATTATTACATTTGTGTATATTATTAATTTGTTTAAAACATGTTTTTCCGATTCTATTTGTAACGTAAAACAATAAACCTTTTACATTATTTTTTTAGTGTAAGCTGTAGTTAAAGTGAAAAATTTAAATTTGGAAATAGCTATGCACATTTTCAAAATTGTATTTGAAAATAGAAGTTAAATATTGCTAAATAATTAGTTTTCACGTTTAAACTATATTTATAGCATGTACGTTTAATTCACTCATCTGTTCAAATAAATAAATCTATATGAATTTGAATTGAATTTTTTTCAAAAAATTACAAAGTTTTAAAGAAATTTTATTTATTAAAAAATTATTGCAAAATACACTCGACTTTTTATATAGGTTATAAAAAACTGTTTTTTACTGTTTTTTAAATGTAAAAAACCTATTTTTTTAAAAAACTATAATATTTTTTTAAAAACTATTTTTAAAAATTATTTTTTTTATATAAAACTGTATTTTACTGTTTTTTTAAATATTTTTTTTATATTGGACCAGGGAAAAGTCTTTTACAAGTTGGTAAAAAGACTTTTCCAACTCATATACTCTATTAAAAAAAAAATGATAATTATATCATTTGATGGAGCATCATTTCAGCTTTAAATATCTGCTTTTTTATTGCGATATGATGATTTTTAACGAAGTTACGAGCAATAAAATCAGAATATCCTTTTTACTTAATCCGCGAGAAACAAAAAATCGTAAGAATATTTTTAAAAATCAATTTTGTAAGAAAAACTTCAAGCTTTCTCGATAGTCAAAAATTTGCTTAAATTTTTTTTTAGCATGCTATAGAGTAAATAGAAAATTTTTTATTTTTTTGAGCTCGTAGTTTTTTATAGATAAAAATTATAAAACTCACATAAATTCAAAAAATATAATAAATAAAAAATTCGAAAGTAAAGATTTCAAGCTATAAAACCCTTGATTTAAATTTAAATTTTGACGAAATCATTTTTAACGAAGACATTAATGAGGAAAGGTTTTTTTAGTAATTTGTAAAAGGACTTTTTCCCTAATTCAATAACAATATGTAATACAGTAAAAAATTGAATGACGTTAAGAAAAAATGAGTTTTACCTCATCAAAATTAATAATCGTGAATTAAACTTAAAACATAAAATAATGCTGCTGTCTTAGAATGTTTATTCCTGTAAATTGTATTTTATTTTAATTAATTTTTGCAAAACGTTGCTTAATTAAACTCAAAGTAACAGGGATAAACAAAAATGCCAATTGTAAACGTTCTCTAACTGTTATTTGAACGAAATATAATTTACTAATATTAAATTAATACTTACATAAAAATATTATACTAAAATATTATTAATACTCACATAAAAATATAGAACACAATCAGCTACTAAATTTTAACCAGCCGCTTCTTGTCACAGGCTCCAGCTAGGATAGTCGATGTAGCTGTTTTTGATCGCCACTTTACGATTCCGAAAAGTCTTGAATCCAATAATTCGCCGAATCCACCGTTCTGATAATTCGTCAATCTTTGTTACTAACAGAATATTCGTTATAATTAGTTTTTTATTCTCGACATCTAATTTCTCGATATCTATAATTAGTTTTTTATTCTCGATATCAATTTGCTGAGATTCTCGTTGTTGACGCAACCGTTCGCCGGATCAGAATAACAAGCGAGATCAGATAGTCATATAAAATTGATCCATAAGATAGATAGATAACAAATAAAAAAAGCAAATAGAAAAAAAAATATAGGAAAAACCAATGAGACGATAGATGAATAGAGCAAATTAGTCTTTGATGCAAGTTAACGAGACACCGTCCGAACACCGTGTGTTCGAGTGGCAGTTCGTACCTACTGCACGACGGATGTACGGCGTGTGTACCGCGGTTCTTTCCCCCTTTCGCAAACGATGTGGATGTCCTCCAGAGCAGTAGTGACAGCAGCACTAGTAGCGCACACATTAAAGAGCGAAGTGTTTTTATCGGATCGGTACCTTCCTTTCTGCGATTATTATTCTAATTACGAATTCGATTGGAAGCATTAGTACGCACTGTGGTGCATATTAAAGCCATTGTACACTGATTTAATTTGAGTACAAAAGTAAAATGCAAATATTTCGAATTAAAAAACACATATTTTATCTTATATTGCAATAAAATGTATTTCAGGATTTAATCGATCTCTATGTTTATGTACAAACATACCTTCACGTTATTTTATCTATGACTTTAATGTGCACAGTATGCATTAAGTGTGTTCAATCAAATTCGCTATAAGTATTTAGAAGCTTACCATTACAAGAAGAGAGATCTATGCATAACTTATTCGCATTCTACTTTTATCTTGTGAATAATTTTTAAGGATTTTAAAAAATTTATTATAATTATTATAATTGATTATAATTATGTACGTCAATAAAATGTATATAAGTAGAATAATTTTAGAAAAAAAAAGCTTAGAGTATGTGTAAAAGTTTTTACTTTAACATGACTTTTAAAATATTTTATTAGTTAATAATTACATCATCTTTTGTGCAAACATATTTATAATAGTCGTATTATGACACAAACTTTATGGAGATCATGAGCTGACCGTAAAAAGAGTAAGTACTTTTTACTATTGTGTAATTTAATGTACTACTGTGTAATGGCATCAGAAAAAATTTAATCTACATTGTGTAATAATATAAAAAAGAAATATAATAGAAATATGAGAGTATTTGTATTTTGTTGTGAAGCTTGACATAATAAATTGATTACGCTTAAAAAAAGAATATATATATATTTTCGCACACTTATGTACAATTTACTCCTTCTCTTTCTTATTTTTTCTTAGTTAAAGATTTTATTAGTAGTTGACTATCGCCTAAGATTTTTCGCGAAATGCTTGTTTGGTTACTTTCAAAATTTATTTCAAAATTGCAATGCGCCACTCCCTACGAACCCGTTCCTCCTGTATTATAGCTTTGCTTTTGAAATATACAACGTTATATTATAATGCAAATATATAATTAATGCAAATAATGACTGGAAAAATTTATGATGACTGGAAAAAAATCTATATTGTATTTGTGATACTATTTTTCATTAAAAAATCTTATCTTGATTTATGAATATTGGTAATTACAATCTTTAGATACTTAATATGTATAAATAATCAAGAAAACTTGAACATGTTTTAAATAAATTAGCATTAAAAAATCACATATTAGAATAAATTAAAATAATTTCTTTAATATTTTTTTCCATGTACACACATATTTGTATCATAAATTCAAATAATTACATAATTATATAATGTAAAATATACTATATGTATAACATTAATATATATACTATATGTATAACATTAGTATACATATATATACGTAATAATAAATATATAAATATAAGATAAACATATATATATATAGTTTCCATCCAGTTACACTGTTAAATTCATAATGTCCAATTTTTTTTTATTTTTAATCGTAATCATTCTATCGATCGTCACTGCTCCTATATATCGTTAATTTATCTATAACAATGGTGTTAAACGATATAATTCAAGAAAATTATTAAATTTAACTTAAATTTGTTTATTATTGTTTCTAAATGCAAACGTTAATATGGACATATTTACTTTGAAACTTATCGTAAAAATGGATTGATTTTAACATATGTAGAAGTTAAAAATAATGAAATGTTATTGACTCAAGGGATTGAGTTCTTTTGATATCTAACAATGTACTGTTTAGTATTAGTGCATTCTCATTAGTTGTAACAATATTGCAAAAAATGAACATGAACTTGATAAGAATTTTACTCAATGGCTCTGAAGCAATTTTCCGAATAAAATAAGTACAACTTGCGTAAACCTGCCTGTTAATGTTTAATCTTAATAATAATAATTATTAATTAAAATGTTATCCATTTATTGTATATATGCAGGGTGTATCTGAAATAACGCCCACTAATTATATAGTGCTATTTCTAATAAAAAACTGAGTCGAAAAGTCCTCTACCATTTTACAATTTTTACAACAGTTAACGAGATATTAATTTTAAAAGATTATCAGATAAAATCGATGAAGACAATTTTAAGATATTTTTTAGTGTTCTTTGTAAAGTATCTTGAAGATAATTTCTTCTAAAGAATTCTTAAAGATATTTTAAAATTGTCTTTTACATCGATTTTAGACATTTTGCTCATTGAGTGACTAAAGAAAAATATTGCGAAAGTTGCAAAATAGTGGAAGACCTTTCGATTCAGTTTTTTATTAGGAATAGTGGGCATTCTATATAATTAATGGATGTTATTTCAGACACATCTATATATATTCTGTTTTTGTTCAGTAAATGGATTCAGATTTTGTGCTCAGTAATTACAGGCAAAGTGCTATATCTTAATTGAGATTCTACGTACGATGTTACTTTTTAATTACTAAACGAACATTATTATAATTGTCCAATAACTGCTAAAAAATGCATAAAATTTCTTTCAGGATATATATGTGTGTAAAATTGGTTCAGTAAAAGAATCATAATTAATATCTGATTTACTAATTTGATATATTGATATATTTGATCTAACAATATGATATCTAAGATATTTGCAATAATAATCTGTAATTATATACACCTATTAAAGAAGAAATTTATGCAAGAGCAATTGTAAATAACGATATTATTTTCAACGGTAATATTTGTGAAATATTTTCTTCTGTATCTAACTTTATAAGTTAAAATCTTAGTAAATGGCATAGGTAAGAGCCTTGTAATATATTAGATTTATTTAAGCAAAAACAAAAGACATTGTGAAAGACACTTGCTATCGAATTTTACGTGCGTATATCGAGGTCGGCCGATGAAAAAAAAGTCGCGGAGAAGATTCTCAGTGAAGGTAACGTCTGCAGTTTTGTTGCTTTCCTTTAATCTTGCCCGAGGCCTTTCCAATTCTTTGTTAAGGCATTTTTCTGATATATTACATATTTCTTTTTACAATTGCATATACCTATAATTTCTACTAATATAATATATTTAATTTGTTACTTAATTATTTAACAATTTTCATCGAGTTATTTCTTTACTTGTGCTACTTTTTAAAAAGCTATATAAAATTTAATGCAGTTTAATTTAAATTTAATTTAATTTAATTTAGTTTATTGCAAAGCTTTATGAAAAAGCTATATGTTAACAGAGTAATAAACATAAAATATGATACAATAGATCATAGTTCACATAAACGTAAACATACATGTTAACATAAATATAAATACAATAGACAATAGGAGCTTGCAATTATGCTTGCAACTATGCTATTTTAAATGTTACTTTTTTCTCGCAATACTGATTAGTTCTTTCGTCGTATTTAATAATTATTTAGTATGTAAATTATGTGTAATGGATATGATGTTCTTTCTTTTTCTCGGAATAATGTCATTTTAATTCATTACAAATTGGTATTTAATAATATAATCATTTATGGCGCAAGCATCATTTCCGCTAATATAAAAAGACTATTGCTATTAGTATAATATATATAATTATATTATATATTCCTGTTAATTATGATATAGATATCATTAAAGTATTCATAAATCTTTTCTTCATTTTGTCCCAGAATTATAATGGCGCATATTTCATAACATGCATTAAATAAATTTTATCACTTACAATTAACACAGATGAGAAAAATGATATAGTCAGTATTCATAGTTAATTTTTATTTCAAAACCATTTTAGTAAGTAGAGTTTTAAAACGCTAATACGACTCTGTGATTGGTTCATTAAGATTTGCAACACCTCACAAGCGTGGCGCAACTTCGTCGCACATTCACAGCTAAGGTTCGATCGTAGGCGATCGGATGACGTGGCGTTAAACGAAACGTGACCGAAATGCGTCTTTCCACGACCGCTCTCAAGGGCGGCACATAATCACAAGATAATAGTTGGACGCCAGGCACGAGCGAGCGAGTCACTCTTTCGCGAATTTTCTTTATGCCATCTGCGAATGTCGATGGGCTCTCAACCGGTAGCTCAGCCTCGGAAAGCAGAGGGGGCGGTTCGCGCCCTGTCGAGGATAACAGATCATCTGGAGGAGCGAATAGGGGCGAGAATAAAGTACACATGAATTAACAATAACAAAAGTAACAAATATATTAAATTTCATTAAGACTGTACTTAAGTCTTAAATATAAAAATCGATTATGAATATTGATCTAAATGCAAGTAGAACAATTTTTAACATACGCTATTTAAACCGTTGGGCTTGTCGATTTTATAAACATTTATTCTATAATAAAGTCAAATGTTAAGACATATAGAATTACAATAATTTATATAATATTGTATGTAATAGTAATCACATGTGCGTTTCTCGGATTTTGCTTTAGGCGATGTTTACTGCTTATTTATATACAATATGTATTTACATGGAGTACCGTTTCATAGAATGTTTATCGTGATCATAACAAGAAGATTATATTCTTTCGCAATAATATATAATGCTAACTGCATCTTGCCGACAACATGGCTTTTGTTGAATAGAAGAGTTAGGTTGTTTTCTTTCTCAAGATCGTAGATTTCTTCTTGATCCTTAGTGATCCTTAGTAAATGCTCCTTGTCTAGCAGCTGCATTAGAGTTTTTAAAAACATACATGCAGAGTCTTCCTCTCTTTTATTCGCATAGATAATAACTGTTATTATTCCTATAAAATTTAATATTTTTCTACACGAATTTTTATCTGTACAAATAATATTACTATTTATATTTCGTCTTTATTTTTCTTTCTTTATTCCTCTTTGTGAAATTCAATATTTCAAAGAAAATAAAGTCTCAGATAATTTTTTCTTTAACTAAAAAAATGCATGCAATACACAACAATAAATAACAGGAGTTAATGACAAATTTTAATTAAAAATTTTGTTTCACAACAAATGAATGTTTCTTGCAGAACTTACAGTGAAAGATAAATGAAAAAATTTTCAAAAAATTTCATTATCCTTCAATATTTAGAAAATTCGCTTTGAATTTCTTTTGTAGTAATGTAAACTTGTAATATA